GTTGTCGGTATATTTCTCCGTTGAACAAAAACTGGATATTGAATGTGCATCGGAGCAACAGTTCCTTTAGGCCGACTGTAGGAATGCCAATGGTTATCTGGTTCTGATCAATATAATCACAAATGTAACGTATAGTTTCAAATAGTGGCACGTTAGTGAAAAGTGAAGCAACGTCGAGCGAACACATGGTTAGATCCGTAACATTTCGATCACGTACGAGCTCTAAGAATTCAAAACTGTCCTTTAGGTTGTGTACAGAAACCTGCTTTCGGACGGTCTCTAAAAGCTCAACGAGCCACCGTGCAGTGGAATGGTACGGAGAGTCCTTCACGTCCAAAACTGGTCTCAGAAAAACGTTAGGCTTATGAGTTTTGGGTAGACCGTACAACCTTGGAATCGCGGTGCCTACGGGACGTAGGTTTTCATAGACACCTTCACTAATGAAACCCCCGTCGCGAAGCTTTTTAAGGCTGTTGCAGATTTGATTCTCGATCTGCTTTGTTTTGCTTTTTCGCCTATTATCTTTAAAAACGGTGTCATCTGCCAATATTCCATGCATTTTCCGAAGCTAGTCTGCTTTGCTCAAGACGACTATGCCCGCACCTTTATCGGGTCGAGTGAGCAAAATATCTTTATTTCTGACTAGATTGTGTAGCGCCTGAATCTGTTCCTGTCTCACCGGGGTTTTATGGGTTATCCGTGCTCCGCGATATTCAATTTCGGCGATATCGTTTTTGTTCAACGGAGAAATATACCGACAACACGATGGTGTTGCTATGGGCTCCCCACTGGGGCCGTTTCTTGCTGACGTGTTTACGGGTATGCTAGAACAGAGCAAGTTAAGATCGGTTATCGAAAGCCTTAGCCTCTACTGCCGTTACGTCGATGATATCTTTATATTGCTACATTCCTCCCGAAACATCAAGGACCTTACTAACACATTTAACCAGGCACATACAGCGCTAAAGTTTACATCTGAAGTGGAGGAGGATAGATCGTTTCATTTCCTCGATGTGAACATGAAGCGATTCGATGATGGTTCCCTACAGCGTGATGTGTATAGGAAACGTACCTGGAAAGGACAATACACGAATTTCTACAATTTTGTTCCACTTAGATCAAAACAGAACTTGATTTTCAGTTTAACGAGTCGGGCGCAAAGAATTTGCTCGAATGACACATTATCTGAGGAACTACAGCGCATACGCTTAACCCTGAAGGAAAATGAGTACCCGGATGGATTCATTAAAGCCAACATGGAGCCAAGGAGGAAATCTCCTGTAACCCTCTCAGCCGAAAAGAAACCCATTTTTCTACAATTACCGTACAAAGGGGAAATCGTAGCTGAACTTCTAACTCGTCGTATTTCCCGCGCTCTCAGGAACACCTTTCCAGCAGCCAAAATGTAGATTCACTTCACCAGTAGCCCGATGGTGAAAACTAACCCAAAAGACAAAAGGCCTGTCCACGCCAATTCCATGTGTGTTTACTCATTCACCTGTTCTTGTGGTTCAGGGTATATTGGCCGTACGACGAGGCGCTTGTCTGACAGGGTGAGAGAACACCATCCGGCCTGGCTTGCGACTGGGTGCCGAAAGCTCACCAACTCATCCATCGCCACGCACCTTGCCGACACGGACCATTCCCCCAATCTAGCCGAGGCATTTAAGGTTATCTATCGACCACCTGAAAATCGATCAAAGTGCGTTCGCAAGCGCTTACTTGAATCGGCGGAGCGTTTAGCGATCAGACTATACGAGCCGGAATTGTGTGTCCAGAAAAGATTCACTCACACGCTGTGCTTGACTTGGGTCAGACGAACTGCTCCGTCCAAACCAAGGATTTGTGCACGTGATGCAACTGTGTCCTAGGGGGCAGTGACTGATAGTGACCAGTGACTATGAACTGAGTGTTTTACCGGTCCTTGTGCTGTGTCTATATTTTGGTTCTTTTTTGCATATAATTGTACAAGCCTGACGAAGAATTATTGAAAATATATGTTCGCTTGAAAACATGGTTTTCAAGGGCTTCAGTACTCAGGCTTTCACACACCGGGACATTAGTACCTGTAAGACCCAGTATAGGCAAACAATTCGTGTGAGATGAAACTGCGCTGAGAGTGAGTCAGCTAGAAACGAGTAAGATCTGAAACTTGGAGACGCTTCGATCTAGCATGCTGGACCAAACACACGATGTCTTGCGACACAGTTCTAACTTTTCGATTACCGTGTTTTTCGGACGATGAGGCGCAGGATTATAAGACGCAGTATCAGTGAACGGATCTAATTTCATATATAAGGTGCACCGGATTATAAGGCGCACAAAGCGAAACAAAATAGTCGGATAGGTCAAACTTAATTCAACTCATTAACAATAACTGTCAATATTGTTCTCTTGTAATACACATAAAAGAAAAATGCAATCACTTTTGCAAACATTACTCTTCTACAAATGCGTCAGTCTTCATCTTCAGTGTCGGAATTTAACAGTTGGGCGATAGCGGCATCAAGCAAGCCCGGATCCCTCTCGTCATTATCTGAGTCAGTATCGTTGTTGCTTGGCTGTTCATTGATGACTCAGGCCTTCGTGAAAGCTGGGACGACAGTTGAGACCGATACCTTGGCCCAGACATCGACGATCTATTGGCATATAGTGGCGTAACTAGCTTGGCGTTGCCGACCTATCTGTCATCCAATACTCCCACGCGGCTCGCAATTTAACTGAACGCCCCGTCGACACCACTATTTAGCGGTTGGAGATTTTTAGTTAATCCTCCCGGAATGATGGCAAGATCCGAATTAGTTTTCTTCCAATGGCTTTTGACAGTTTTGGTGAAATGGGCGCACAGAGTCGCAGATCAATAAGGACAGATGTGTGGAAAAAGCCATCCGGTCTCCTGACATAAAGTTCTCTCAATCACTCGCTTATTTTTCCTCGTTCGTCCAGCCTTTGGGTTGACCTTGACGATAATTTCAACAGGAAACCATTGTTTTGACAAAGTCTTCCTCTTAAAATGACCATGGGTAGTAGTTCCTGGCCATTAGCCTGGCAACCGAGAACTGTAGTGAAGGATTTCTCGTTCCGTGTACTGCGTATATTTACAGTAGGCGTCCCTGTTTTTTTCAACAGTACGGTTAACGGGGATATCAAAGCTGAGAGAAACCTCGTTCAAGTTTGTGATGTGGCCTGGCTGAATCTTCTTTCTGATGATTTCGTTCTTGAAGTAAGTGCGGAAGATGGCCAAATTTGCTTCGTAATTCTTTGACAGTTGCTGCGAGGTGGTAGTTCTTGTGCGGAGGGAGAGATGATGCTCTTTCATAAAACGGACGCACCAAGAAGGACCTCCTTGAAAGTCGTTCATCTTCATATCACGTGCCATCGCTATTGCCTTGAATCGAATAGAGACTGTAGAGACGCTTCTACCTGCTGTTCTATGTTCAGTAATCCACTGCTCAATTTTGTCCTCTAACTGTGGCCATCTTGCTTTGTTCCCTCGGAAACTCTTCTTGCTCATCTTTACTTAGCGCAGGTCATCTTCTTACTTCTTCCACTACCGTACCATTGATAGGTCAACGTAGAATTGTTTCGCAGCTGCTCTATTTCTATGCTGTACTGCGTGGTTGATAACATTGAGTTCGAAATTCGCATCGCAAGCGTGTCTCTTCACAGGTAACATTTTGGGGTCCTACAAAAGGCGCACTGCCGATTTTTCAGCAAATATAAGGATTTTAAGTGTGCCTTACAGTCCGAAAAATACGGTACATTCCGTTTGGACATTTCTTAAACAAATCTGAGGAGAATGACGTTGGATTTCACGAAGACATTGAAAACTTTCAAACGAGAAGCCTATTTTTACGCGACACAACACGTGAGTTCATTTTCCCGATATCCGAGAACCATGGAACAGGCACCGCAAAGGATTTGTCCATGCTTTATGAATAACTAGAGATCAAGAAGGCGCACAACTGTGGAGCTCAAAGTGAAATTAAACAGAAGGAACACAAGTATTTATAGTCGAAAAACTCAGAATCAGGATTGGAACTGAATGATATAATTTCTACGAAATAACTCCAACACATGGAGAAATCTAACGAGTAAGAACGTTATTGACACAGTCAGGAAAGGGCCAATTGGTGGCCGCTAACCGCAGAGGGCGTAAGTCACATGAGCTTTGCCAATGCGTTCAACAACCTCATAGCCCTAGAAAGTATGACTAATTAGATAAGTAAATTAGGTAACCACTTCCATGATTGTTCGGCGACCTTGAGAATCGGCCATGTGGACCATTCGAAGGCGCGAAGCACAAACCGAGGAGCACAGTGCAGCTATTCAGTATCGTGTGTCTGCCAGATAGGACCGACTCATAGAGCTTAGTTGCTTACGCGCCAAAAGTTGAGAAGCCCCAAGTTGCCATCCATCCACAATAAACCACGCGGTCGTTGGATCGTTTATCGCTGACACAAAGTGTAGAAGGACCGGCAAACAAAAAGGTCTGCAAGCATCCCCATTTACGCTGTTTATTAGAACACACGGAAGCTTGACCGCGCAGGTGTGATGCGTTTGGCAGTTTAATCATCTTTAGAGTATGACTGGATCTTCTGCAGGTGCATAAGCACGCCTTATATTAGTACACTAGAGATGGTACCTGTGGCAGCGCGTACGCGCGGACCTTACCACGACCGCACTTCGTAGCTTGTGATTGGATGCCCGTCCGTTCACGATCAATACCAGGGTTGTTTTGAATGTACTGAGTGTATGTACCGTTGGCGTGAATAGAAGTTTGTGTTGCGTACCAGTAGAGTTCTGCTTCCTCGTTCGGGGCTTTGGTCGTGCTTGTTCAAGACCCTGCGTGCAGGGGGACTAGTGTACGTGTAGGTACAACAGTACCATAGTAACGACTAGCGTTGCAAACGGCTATCTCGGCCCTTTCGCTGGCTTGATTACGACACTGGTGCAATGAATTCATAGCTGGCCACCATTTGTCGGCTAGAAGACGGTATCATAAAAATAGTTTCTATCCACACACTGTCGTGATATGTGTGAGAGGACCTCCCAGCATAGGACTGAATCATGAATGGACAATAAAACACCAAAAAAGCGCAAACTCAGAACAAAGGGGTAAAAATGATTACACCAGGACAAAAAGACAGACAGACAGACAAAAGACAGTAGGCTGAGAATCGTTTGATAAAGTGAAAAAATAAAAACAAGTTATCACAGAAGTCAGGACACCGGCCGAGCGGTTGAACGACGCGATGTCGGTACACTGAACAAAGATCGCAGGACAATCACTTGGCCCACGCCCACGGAAAGGACAAGCACTGACTGGCCGATTGACCAGTAAAGAACCCTGGAATTCAGTTGCGACATAAAATTGTAGGAAATTGTGTTCAACAAGCGTTCCATTTTCTGCCAAAAGGTGATTTTTTGTAAGTTGGAATCGAGCGACTTCAACAGAGTGAAGAACTAGGAACAAAGATGGAAAGAAACAGGCAGTAAATCACAAAATAGTAAGTAGTTACCAGATCAAGAAGGGACAATTATTTAGGAGCTAAACGTGGAAGGCAGCCCCGTAAACTTTTCCACTCGATAGTGAACGAAGTGAGGGATCGAGGTCACTATGCACTCCAGAATCAATTGCTTAAAACCAACGAGGTTTATGGCAGTCATATACAAAACAGTCATGATCTAATGTGATCCGCTGACTGAGAACACAATGTCAAAAAAGATGGTCAAGGAGCGAGGTATTGGAAACAAGCCGATCCAACAGTGCCCTATGTTGGAGACGCTTCTGCTGTCGGCGAGTTTGACAGAACAGGTGGGGTGGACTAGGCGGGAAGTCAAATGGGGGGTGGCTGCCTTGTCGACATCACTTGTTGGTCTTTGATATCCGATAAGCTGCCCGACTAGCTCTCACGAATCCTTAAGCCCATCTATACTTAGCGTTAGGAGACAAACATGGCTGTCCGTATTTCAGTATACGCGCGAAACCTCGGATAACCGGTGCTTGAGGAGGTAATTCGTGGCTGTAGTCAAAGTTATCAAAGAAAATAGTCTTAAACAAGCTTTTGAAAGACGCCGGAAGCAAACCAAAGGAATCTCTTGTCAACTCATTTACAAATGATTCGACCGCTTCGGCCAAGATCAGGGCTATCCCAATTCGTAAAGGGGTTCGTGACCCCCCAACTCATTGTGCGCCCATTCCTTCTCCTCTCCTTCCGTTCTCTATGGGCACAGATGCTTAGGTTTTCTATTATGTTAACTACAGGAGCAAGATTGCATCCACTCTTGGAATCTCTCTCACAACCCGTACCACATTTTGAGTATCCACTCAGTCATGTAGTCGACCATCGCAATATGTTTCTACCCTTGGAGAACCACTACAAACATGCGGCTGACATGCACTTGCCTTTTTTGGGAACCCGCCGCCTCACCCGGCGCCCTTCCTACCTCTCCTCCTCCCGACGCATATCAACCAGTTATTGGGGATGCAGAATGCACCACATGGTTCTTCAAGCTCTGTACACTGCCACAAACCTCACTCACGTATAATAAGGCCAGTTCCCACTCCCGCCACGTATCAACAGACTAAGCTCCATCATCCGTGGCCTGCACCACGGTCCCTGTAAATCGCACCCTATACAGTGGTTCAAGGTCCCATAGGTCTTTTGATACAGGCAACGATGAATACAGCCAGACTAAGTGTGACCTTTCCTCTCAACAATCTTCAGAAAATATATTATTAGATAATTCTAACCCCAGCAGGATGATGTTAGAGATAGCAAGCCTCCTATCCCGAACGGATGTAGTTAAGCTACTTCTAACGAATGCTCGATCGCTGGCGAACAAGATGCATCACCAACGACCCTTATTATCCTTCTCTCGACCACATGTTGTGCTTGTAACGGAAACATGATTTGATTCGCAGTGCACAGAGCTACTTGTCCCTGGCTTCATGACTTTTGCCAGTGGCCGTCTTACTAGTCGAGGTGGCGGTTGTATCTGTACGTTGATGATGCTTTAGAGGCGAGTAGATTGGAGGCTCCTTCGTCAGGTAGCTTCGAAGACTCGGTCTGGATACAGGTTGAGATTCAATCTTGTCGTTTTCTTGTTGGTTGCATTTACTTGCCGCCTGGCGTTACCAAGGCTAAATCAAACCAGCTGACTGAATTGTTTGAATGGGTATCTGAGAACCCGTTGTTTCAAAAAATCACAGGTGGCGACCTCAACATGCCCGATGTTTCGTGGCAGGAGCGAACAGCACCCACTAAGTGTCGGAATTTGCTTTCGTCGTTAGTCACTCATGGATGGCCACATCAAGTATGCTCTCCTACTAGAGGCAGAACATTCCAGACTTGTATTTCACGTTTTACATATCTAGTGCACAAACACAGACTCTTAGTAATTTTCCATGGGAGCGATCATAAGGTTATCCAACTAACCTCCAAGGTTACCCAGATAACGGCAACGAACCCACAATATGTCCGCCAATATCGACAATATCGCAAATTGGATTGGAACAGCTTCCGTCTCACTATTAGATCCCTTGACTTAGATAACTTTTTCCTTACAGACTGTCCAGATATCGCCGCTGATGAGTTCTACCAACATCTGACCTATTGCACTGACCTGCTTACACCACTGCAACATAGAAAGCAGCCATTGCGTCGTCCTCAAAATCCTATTCCTAAAGTTGTTGCGGTGTCTCTAAAACGCTTGCGCTTTAGGTTTAAGAAAATAAATGATACATGTGCGATCATGCAAACTGGTAAAATTCTCATTGACTTGCAAAACCGACAATGAAAGAAAGCTTATGTCACAAGAGGCACAAGCGCTAGCAGCTCCCAGCTGCAGACACGTTACATCGCATAATAAGACTTAGATACGAAGCACAACGTCATCAAACCTGAACCATTGTCTCCTCAGACGGAAGCCTCACTACCGACCCCGATGAGCTCTGTGAGTTATTTAGGAAACATTTCTCCTCGTTTAATAAAGGCTCCTGTGTTGTATAAGAAAGACTGCCTCTACTCACCAGTGAAACAATAGATACAGTTGAGTTCAATCTGTATAGCGTTAGCAGGCAAATAGCCGCTCTAAAGCAATCTTTTCACCCTGGACCTGACAGCATACGACCAGCATTGCTTAAACTCGCCGGGCCCGATATTCCCCTGCTCCTGGTAAACATATTCACCATGTCAATTAAGACTAGTCTATACCCATGCAGTTGACTGCATACTTTTGCTGAGACACCTGAGGTGGCTCGGTCATGTGTGGCGTATGGATTCGACGCGGATACCGAAGCAGCTGTTGTATGGTCAGCTGAGTATTGGAAAGCGGCACGTGAGGAAACCAAAGTTACGATACCAGGACATGATTAAAGTGAGCCTCACACGTTCTAATCTTGATTGCAAATCCTGGGAATCGAAGGCCGTTGATCGGCGTGCATGGCGCGATCCGATCAGGATGGCAATTGCCGAGGTGCAGGAGAAAGCTCTCATGCATGCAGAGAAGAAGCGGCAAGCACCGATGGGTTGTTCTCCATCGACATCAAGCGCATGGTGCTGTGGAACATGCGGTCGCGAGTGCCTGAGTCAGGCAGGCTTAGTGAGCCATGAGCGAGGCCACTCCGGACTACTACCGAAGCGACGACGGGTTCTGCAGAGAAGGTAGGCAGAACCGGAGCGGCGTTTGTAGGTACGCTGCATTCAATTTACTAACCGCGTGCTTGCATGCTAAGTCACTTTATTTCAGGTGGTGGGTTTTCAATTTTGCATAAATGCTTTTCTTTCTCATATAAATGTCTACCTGTACTCTATTCCATTAACTTGCACACCTCGCTTAAGCCAATTGTATTCGATTTCCATAACATTTTTGTGTTCGTGGCATTCCGTATAGTATACTTCCTGACCTCGTAAACTTATCTAGGATTCGTTTGTAAACAACTTATTTCATATGCTCATTGACAAAAGATTCATGTTACCGTTTTCTTATGCATTAATCGAGTTATTTTCTTTATCCCTCTCTCTCTCTCTCAAATGATTGGCTGTTGTTTGATATCCCCGGTGTGGCTGCACTTGATGTGCATGTTGACAAGGTGCCTACCTGTCTATTACCCACTACCTCGTCCATCTGGCTCCAGGAGACAGTTGGTCGTTGCTGGAGGGGACGGGTGCACGGTCCTAGTGGTCATGCTAGGCTCGAAGAGTGGTTTTATGCACTCAGTATGGAGTAGACTACGGTCCAGCCACCGCCTTGTGTGCGATTGATTTCCCAAATACAGAGTGCTTGTGTTTGTCTGTGAAGGAGTGTGGGCCGGCTCCGTTGAGGAAACGTGGCTCCCATCCACATGCCTCCCGGTCTTATTCCTTCGGGTTTACACTGGATATGGGGTGTGTGGGAGCTGTGGATGGTGCAGCGCAAGCCACACATGGTCCCTCTGTAGGCGCAGGCGTCCTGTGGCTGGCCACAGTAACAGGCAAATGCGAAAGTGGATGCCGCCAACCGTACCCTGCTAGATGGAAGCGGGCTGCCGTCCTATTCCGACGCAAAGGGGGATCACGTCACGAGCTATCAAATTACCGCCCCACTAGCCATACTTCCATATTGACTCGTATTATGGAAAGAATAATCAAAGAAAGAGTCATGAAGCTCCTTAATTCACAAAGTCTGATCGACAGATCGCAACATGGATTCCTCCGTGGTCGTTCATGTCAAACTTGCCACTTCGAATTTCTAGATTACGTAACCAAGTCGGCTGACTCCGGGTAGTCGAAGGTTATTCTCTCCTTAGACATGAAAAAAGCATTCGACCGCGTAGCACATGCAGAACTACTAACAAAGTTAACCTCTTATGGGTTTGCTAATCCATTACTAGCATGACCATCATCTTTCTTGTTTACACGCATCCAATGTATCCGAGTGGGAAAGTGCGTACCTTCACCTATGCCAGTAATCAGCGGCGTCATACAGGGAAGCGTTTTAGGCCCACTGCTATTCATACTATACATAAATGACATTTTCCGAATATTTTGACATGGCAGACCCTTTCTTTTGGCGGATGATATCAAAGTTGTGTTCGCTTTTGAGAGCATAAATGAACCAAACGGTGCTCAAACAAAACGTACGGAGTTCTTCGCCCTTCAGCGGTGGTGCTGAGAATGGAAATGAGCTTCTCTGTTGGCAAATGTAAAGCCTTATTCTTCAGATGCCAATTTAATAATGACGTACTGACACTAGATGACAAACCAATTACTTGCCGCACAACGATTCATAAGGTCGGAGTTCGCTACTCAAGCTTTCATTTTTCCAAACAGTTACATCATGTCGCCGTTAAAGCGAGATTTATCATAGCATGTATTTTCAATACGTTACGCTTGAACGACTCTAGGCTAGCTATGCGAAAAACGTCTTAGAATATTGCCCATTATTATTTATAAATTTAAAAATGTAGGAGAAAATCATTT